CTCTCTCTCTCTCACACACACACACAAACTCTTTCAAGGCTCTTGGTCATTTTAAGGGAAGAGGGGGCAAGCTTCAGGAATTCAGGAGTCAACTTCTGTCCCCAGGGACAAATCACAGGCTGGAACCCCACTTCTGATTTCTCTTCTTAAAAAAAGACTATTTGGAGACAAAGTAAGTTGCAGAATAGCACTGCACTTTGTTTTAAAGGAACACTGTTGCTTCTGAAGCCTACCAGGAGCATCAATTCTCCTACTTTAACATTAGCAGTCATTGACTGTAACTATAAAGATTACCTAACTCTCCCTTTTTAATTTTTTTTCATTGAGGGGAAATCCAGGATCATTTCGGGTCCCACAAAAATTGTTGGAGGCCACATACAGCCCAAGGGGCATATATTCTAAGTAGCTGATGCTGTCCACCTTCCCCTATATCTTCTCAAAATATTGGCCTAACAACACATGATCAGCTTAACTTGCAGAATCTGCTTCCTCACCTTTAGTATTCCATACCTACCTTTCTGGATAAAGCTGACTGAGGACCCAAGTGAGCTGAACCGCAGCACTGCGAACCTGTTCATAGTCATCTGTTAAAAGTTTGCATGCCTGAAATGGAAGGTTTCCAAGCAGTCATTAGCCAGAAGCCTTTTTATGAACATTTATATTTCATGCTCCGCTTCATCTCTTTTATTTAGTTTGCAATTTATAAAATACAAATTGGGAAAATTCATAAACAAAATTAGTCTAATTAACCATTTGTAAGCCGTTCTGATAGTCTTTTGGCTGAAGAGCGGGGTATAAATACTCCAAAATAATAAATAAATAAATATAATAATAGTAAGTAGAAACCCATCTCTCTGTTGGCACCTTTCTATTAAAGGCCAAGCCAGTTAACAGTGGTTGGGACACCAAACATTGTGCAGAATTTATTCAGCCTCTTGCACCTCAGAAAAAGACCTGGAAAACTCCTCAGCTCCTCAGAATGGTTTGCTATTGTTGTAGTGTGCCTTCAAGTCATTTCTGACTTATGCCGACCCTAAGGCAAATCTATCATGTGGTTTTCTTGGCAAGATTTTTTTCAGAAATTTTTTTGGCAAGATTTTTTTCAGAGGAGGTTTACCATTGCCTTCCC